CAATGGTTGTTTATTTGGTGTTGTGTAGAAGTCCAGTTTATATTGCTGTTAAATCCACCCCCTGCATTCAAAATGTATTTTCATGATCAATTATTTATAGAAATATCCTTAATAGTTCACCTCTCATTTGTCATTAATTCTTCATTAGAGGAGATTTAGAATGTTGAAAATGTTGAGCATTGTGGTCAAAATGTCACAAAGTGTATGTCTTCAAATGATCGGTTTTAATTTATATATACTTAGGTCGTAATCATAAGTAAGAAAGAAATAAACATGGTTTTATTCTTATTGAGCTTGTTTTATTAAATTTACAAAGTGACAAAATGCTAGGTCTGTTATCAAAAAACAGGTGCCAACCTTCATATTTTTTCTTCATCCACTGTCACTATGCATTCTGACTGATTCTGAAAATGATGAATGTTTTTGTAGCCTTTTTGTATTTTTTATTAATTAATTATTTTGGAATGTTTTTGTAGCCTTTAAAATCTGTTTGTATTTTTTATTAATTAATTATTTTTTGACAGGAATTGAATGACTTGGCACGGGATCCTCCAGCCCAGTGTTCTGCAGGACCAGTAGGAGATGACAGTAAGTTGAAAACAGAACCAGTCCTGTTTAGACCTCTATGTTAATTGGGGCTATTAAATAATTCAACAACTGATCATAAAACAATACTCAACAAACAGGCTAACTACACGAGCCAAGTTACTATCGTCCTTCTGAGTAAGATGGCCGAATTCTAAAATTATTTTATAATAGCTACAGGACACATACACAAAAGCAGTTGTTTTAATGCTGAAAATGTTGCAAACAGTATTATGGAGTAAAAAAAAACAATATTTGAACTGACAACATTCAAGGAGAGAAACATTACTATTAATAAATGATAATGACAGGTTGTCTAGAGGTCGTGCACAGTGTCTTTGACGACCCATTCATGTATGTCTATATATATGTGTATATATATATATATCTATCTATCTCTATATATATATATATATATTTTTATATATCTAAGCCACTTGTGTCTCTTTTACCAGTTGTTGATGTTCATGTATTTATAAGGAGCTTTTAAATCCCTTAATCACCACAGGGAGACAATGGTCTTAACATATTCAAACAACAGCTTCAGAGTTGATGTGCAATTAGCAGATTAGTTGGAACCTGAAGTGCCGGCTTGTTTTTGATCCATGACTGAACAAGTGGTTCATGACGACTGAGAGGTATTCATTTAACAAACACTTGCTGTTAGTAATTGTAATGCACTGACTGATTTGTTTATAAGCTCTAACCTTTGATTACCAGTTTAGATTTTGGTCCAAAATGCACAGCGTGAAGAACGTTGACCAGAATGTTCACAGCCTTAACAATAGTGACATCACTGGTTGTCAGCACACTTGTTGATGACTCAACATTTAACTTCAGTAGGATGTCAAACAACGTTAACAGGTTAGCAAGGAACCATGTAGTGTCTAAAACATGTGCACCTTACAGCGTGGAGTAAACACTCGTATCATGTAAGTGTCAGCTGTCACTTTGACGCGTGTTGTTGGTAAAATGCTGGGGTTATTTTGAACAACGTCCAGAGAAATGACTTACAGTTTGAAGGAAGCAGATGTGATAATTTGAATTAAATTTTACCAGTTGTTAAACAACAAATGCACAATTGTTAACTTTTCTACTTCACATACAGACAATAAAACTAGTATAGAGCATCTTTGTAGCCATCTGATGTCTAACATGTCGTTTGTCTTTTTTTTACAATAATAATAATGGAGGAACAAATAGTCACATTTCTTTTGCTCTGGTTTTTTCTCAGATTTATCAGTTGTTCTGGACCTCTGCATTATTCTGTGTTTTTTTTTTTTAGTAGTTGCTGTTGCTCTTTGGCCAAATATGTAACAGATTTTTTCCAACAAAGTCTAATTGATTGCTAATTAATTTTTGTTCAGTAGTGTCTCAACAAAGTCCACACCCAATGCTAATTAATTTTTGTTCAGTAGTGTCATAAAAAAATATAAAACACCTTTGGGCTTCCTAAAAAAATGTGGAAATAATGAAGCCATTTTGAAGTCATTTGGCAGTTGTGTTGTAAATAGATGGCATTCAATTTCTGTCGTTTTGATTTCTCTCAATATTTATGTGAAACGTCAACTGTTCTTTTCAGTTCACTCTAATTTTTTATTTCTATGTTAACCTCAATGAACCCAATGTTGCAGCTTTTTTTTTTATTAAGGATATACGATAGGCTTGTCATGCTGTTACTTTTACTGTGACGTTTGGGTGGTGGAGCAGGTTAATCTATAACCAAAGAGTCATGTCATTAAGTTGAATGTTATGATTTCATGATGGTTTTGTCTTTGAGAACAAAACATGCAATGTTAATTTATTTCACATTTTAATTCAATGTGTGATTAATTACTTAGTTTCTTTTAATTGTTTTATTGATGTGTGAAAGTGGTGTGAAAGCCATCTAATCCTGTCCCAACTCTTGCCAAAAACATTTTTTTTTTTCTTCTTCCTTCAGTGTTTCACTGGCAAGCCACAATAATGGGACCAGTGAGTATTCACTTCTTTGCTGCTTTGGTTTTTCTGTTGGTCCTGAGCCAGTGCAAGTTCTAATGTGGTTCATCTTAATTGTCGTTGGAGAGAATTTTAATTTTTATTGTTCAGAATGTTGTAAAAGTCTTTGACCTGACTTCAGTTATTAACCCTGATAAACTAGCACAAACGCTTATACTGCTTTTATTAGTCTTTATTAAAGTCTTTTTGCATATTTGTATTTTTCTTACCGCGTTTGCTGTACAAATAAAATACACTTATATTTTATTTAAAAGATACGTTTGCTGTACAAATACACTTATATTTTATTTAAAAGATCAAGCGTGTAATTTAATTATACAATTTTTGACACGCCTTTTGTTTTGGTGACTGTTTTCCTTTCTTTCTTTCTCGTCACAGAATGACAGTCCTTACCAGGGTGGTGTTTTCTTCTTGACTATACACTTTCCCACAGACTACCCCTTCAAACCGCCAAAGGTGAGTCTCAAACCCACTGTGTCTATACTCAGTTGAATAAAAGTTACACTCTCTGTATTAAAAACAGAAAGAGGAATATGTTGACACCTTTTATGGTCTCGAATTTCCTGTTTTGCCTGCTCTTTTCTGCCTTTTTTTTTTTTGTGTGTGTGTCACTGCAAATATGTCTTTTCTTGGTTTTCAGGTTGCATTTACCACAAGAATCTACCACCCAAATATAAACAGCAATGGCAGCATTTGTCTTGACATCCTGCGATCACAGTGGTCCCCGGCTCTTACCATCTCCAAAGGTAGGCTGACCGCAGGGAGTGGAACTTAAATGATCATACGGTACAATACAATACCTTTATGTGTATGAGCCTTTACTTTGGTTCAGCAATCATGGAAGTATTAAAAATGCAGATATTGTCCAAACACTAATATCGGTCGGCCGATATTATCGGACATCCCTAAAAAAAAACCCTCAATATTTCAGATTCTGTGTAAACAGACTGAGTTCAAGTCAATTGTTCAAGGTGTAACATTTAATAGTATTGATTACAAACTAAAATATACCAAAATATATTTATCTATATTTATAATAAAATATCTCATTAGTCAGATTCTGTGTAAGGATTCACTTAATTCTTCTTTTTTTGAATTCCAATTCTAATCAAGCGTACATTTACGTCTGTTCACCAAAAACACAACTTCCAACGAAAAAATAAATGAGATAAATAAACTCTTTTATTTCCCCGTTCCAGTCCTTCTGTCCATCTGCTCTCTGCTGTGTGACCCAAACCCAGACGACCCCTTAGTACCTGAGATCGCTCGCATCTACAAGACGGACAGGGAAAAGTGAGTGACCTGTTTTTATACTTGTTGATCCTCTCGTCACCTTATTCTTATTTGTGCTGCTTCTAGGACCACTAGTAAAAACAGATACAGTATTCAGACTAAAGGTTAACTTTCATTTAATACTTAATATTGATCATTAATTAATAATGACAAAAATGTTACAGCCTTTTAAACACGTGGTTGTTTCCAGTTTTAATAACAACGTACACCAGGGGGATTCAGTTAAATGTCCTGTTACTACGCTGCCAACAGTTCAAACTCACACAGCTGCTCACTCCATGGATGTTGTTTTGCATGTGATGCGCCGTGGTGCATATTTGGGTCTCTGCCGTTTGTCATCGCAGAGACCCCGAGGAAGGAAGTGCCTCAAACATTGTTACAGTCAGCTGGTGCTTCCTCGCCGCAGATCTGTTTCTGTTGTGTTTAGTGACTGACTGCACCATAGAAATACTATCATATTAAGACAATCTTATAACTATATGTAAAAAAAAAAAAAAAAAAAAATGTTGGAACAAATATACAGTTTATCTGGGGGTTAAAGTAACAATGGGGGGAGTGACGCAAATTACCATTAACACAACAGTTTTGTACGGCAGATTACCAAACAGAAAATGGTTTGTTATGCTCTTATTGTTATTACATTTAGAGGCTTCCATCCAAAGCAATATATAAATGTATACATATATATTCAGGTATAATTATTATTATACTTATCATTATATATTTTTTGGAGTCTTATTGTCAACAACGCTCAATCCAGAATATCCTGAAACATACAGTATTTCTCCTTGTAATTATTGACCTAACAGTGAACACATAGAACAAACATATTTGCTTTGAGTGATCGCAAATATACAGACATATATGTCTATATACTTATGGCTGTTGTGCCATATTGAACATATTGAATCTTATTCATGAGAGTAAAGCTGTGGATGAATCAGATTATGACATGAGTGAGAAAAATATTTGACACAAAACAGAGTGTCCAATAACAGCAGGTAGAGGTCAGTGTTTCTCACCTGAGTTTTATTTCTGACTGATCCACATGATGGAAATATTAATATGGAAAAATGTCCATAAAAATCTCCCAACAGTCTGAGCGAAAAATGTCTCTTTGGTAGAGTTGCTGTGTTTCAGTCGTGACTGACCTGGAATGATTGATTGACAGTTGCTTGTGTTTTGTCTTTCTTTTTTCTCCCCCCACAGATACAACAAAATAGCTCGTGAATGGACACAAAAGTATGCAATGTAGTGTTGGAGTAGAATCATGGCCAACCACCTCTACGTTGTTACGGTTAGGGAAGCTTCAGAAGTAAAGAGAAAACAAACAAAAAAAAAAACAAAAAAAGGACATTTTGTATTAAAACTTTAAAACAAGGTCATGTTGGTTTCCATTGGAGTGCTTTCTTTGAGCCACGCCTCCCCTTCACCAGAGTTAACTGTAAAACTCCCTCTGCCCCCGCCCCTCCCTCCCACCATCTCCCCATCCCTCACACATCACACCCCCCCTCCTCTGCTGCCTGTGAGCTCACCTGCCCCTCCCTTCAGTGTACATATTGTCGACTTGTAAAGGTAACTACCATTTCATCCTCCTCCATTTTTGTACCTCGATCCATTATGACCACGACTGAAACTCATCCACATCTTTTTTTTTTTTTTTTGGACATTTTGTGTCATTGCAGTTTTACCTCATCCCTTTCCCTTTTCCCCCCACGTTAAATCACTATGAGCATTCCTTTGTGTGAAACTTTGAGGGGACCTGTTTTCTTAATTTCTCTGTGTTTTGTAAAGGGGAGGGGTTCAATGATATGGAGGGATTTTTACACTCTGCACCCTTTCTTGTTTTGTTGTCCTTTTTGTTCCCATTTGTCAAGGTGACAAACCAGGAAAGCTGTTTTAGAGGGCGTTTGGACGGACACTCTGTATTTTATACAATAAATAATTAAAAGTCATTGCAGGCTGTGTAATGTGGCCTATTCTGCTCTTCTGTTGGATTCCCCCACCACCACCACCACCACCACACACCCCCACACACTCCACCCAGCCTCAAACCTCCTCACCCAAGTTGACCCCTTCGTACACATACATAAACACACACACACACACACACATGCACGCACAATTATAACCCCACGTCACCCCTATCACTACCACCTCATGTTCTTTATTCAGTGAAAAATTCTGGACCAGGTATTTAAGCAAATTCTTTTTCTTAGTTTAACCTGTGTTTTTATCCCCCGCCCCATTACTCTTTAGGTTGCTTTTTTTTTCTTTTTTTTGTTCTTTTGTTTCTTGCAATTGTTAAATTAGAAGCTAACATCTTAAAAGGTTATGGGACTGGCTTGGGCTCTGGGTGCAAGGAGAACCCACTCTTCTTGCACAAAACCTCTGTATATGAATTACCTGAGAGGCTCGTTGAGCTTTGTGTTGATTAAACTGTGTAATAAAAAACCCTCCCGGCTCCTGTGTGGCTTCTTTTCACAGCCTCCATATAACAAACAACAACAGTAAGAAAAGACCAAATGTGAAGTCAGGTCACAGTCGTGACCCACTTCTGCACTGATGTGTCTGCCATTAGGGTCGAGTGGCTGAACAACACAACAAACGCTGTGGTGATACAGGTTTAATAAAACACGGGTTAAACCACGGAGCAAAGCGTCATCTGACCGATGGATCTGACGGTTGCTGTTGTGATCACATCACATTTCTGCCTCAGGTTAATTGAACTATAATTAAGAGCCGGTTGACTGTAGGTTGTTCTGTAATTAAATCTGGAGTGAGTGCATGTTGACATGGTTCAGTTCTTGTGTATTTATGACTTGTAACTAAATAGTAGATTTAAATCTATTTTTTTTTCATCATCTTGACGTTTATTTGAACTATTCTAAAGGAAACTGTATGGTGTCCATATGTTCTGCCCATCTCTGTGTGTGTGTGTGGTTTCTTTCCTTGCGCTGGTCTCACTGGCAGAGAAATTGTATATAGATTCATGATCAGCATTCACGAAAAGTACCCATTTGACCTCTAGGGGGAGCACAAGTACCACCACCAGTGATAAATATTTGGGAACCATGGCTACAGCTTAATCGTTGGGTTAGTGGGTCTGTTTGGTAAATGATTGAAACCATTTCCACAAAATGAGACGAATAAAACGAAATTAGCAGATGAGCAAAACGTTAATTTATGAGAAGTGTTTTTTTTTAAAGAATATGTCTCATTCATCATTGGCATAATTTTATTAAGGGCAAGGGTTGTATTATATTATAATAAATCAATTATATTTTGTAATACCCGGATTGGCCATATTTTATAAATAGTGTCTGCAATTCAGTATCAAAACAGCCTCGTTTTGTTGCATTTAAACACAAGACAACCTTATTGTGCGCATCATTTTTATTTTACTTGTGTTAATTTTCCATAATATATATTAATTTTTAGGTGTCCCTTCAGATGAAGTCCGCAGCTAATGGTCAACGCCAGTCAGGTCGCTCGGACGTCAAGTTGTGTTCAGGTTTCTAAATATGGTTGTTGTATGTTCAGAAACGACACGTTGAAAATGGCGCTCCCTCATAAAAATTAAAACTCGTAAAACTCGTACAACTGTTATTCATGAGTCAGGTTAAGATTGTTTGAGTTCAAATGGAGTCAGTGCACTGAGAAGAACCCGGAAGCGTAAACTGGCTATGGGGTGTCGTTCATCTGTCGTCACAACAATTCAACCTCGTGATTGGTCGCCTCCGCTGACGCTATGCGCTGAAGTCTGGAGCGGCGCCGTTGGAGCAACCCGTTAATCGACGCCGAGCTTGACCTTGTAACCACGTCCAGAGCCTAAATAAAACTCCGTTAAGAAAAGTATGACGTCCTCGGGGCTACCTCCTATGCCGCCGCTGTCAGCGCCACCTCTGCCTGCTCTGTCTAGCTCAGGTTTCAGATTATCGAAGGGTAAGGTGTCCCTGCTGGTTCTAGCATGCTAACACAAACTGTTTTCGTTTACTCTTTGCACGTCAGTGTGAAGTGTGCTTGAGCTAACTGTTCGAGACTGGAGGGCACCTCCGTGCGTGTGTAACAGTGTTGTTATAAATATATATTATAATCATATACATATTTTTTAAGACTAACTACACAACCTAGCGTTAGCCGCAAGTTTTGTTTCCAACTTTATGCTTCCCCAGAGAGCAGATCTGATC